AATTCAGATTAAAATAAAATGCCTATTTACAATCTAAATATATTTGAAAAAATGGATAAAAAGTCAAATTTTTTGTAAACAATGTTATTTTAAATACTTTTAATATTCCGCAGTGCCAAAATGAATTTGAACTACCTTATAGATATTGGATTCAGAAACTTCATAAGAATCCTTACAAACGAAGATACATTGCGGCTTCCAGTAAATGTTCAACCAAGCCTCTTTCGTTACTCCTCCCTAAGATATTGACAGTTGTAAAGGAAAAACTTCAAGAGGACTGTGCAACTATATATTCAAGAAATGTTGCGAATCAGATGTGGATACTAAAAAATTCTTAAGAACTTTTGGAATCACAAGACTTTACAAAAATCAGCAGCTTAAAAACTTACGACTTTTCAACTTTATACACAACAATTCCCCACGACAAATTAAAATCCAGGGGCCCGTTTCATCAAAAGTCGTAAAGTTAAGCCTTAACTTTGGTGTACTTCTGGGACTTACGCCAAAATTTAGTCGGGCGTAACTTGCGTTTCACCAGGTGGCGTAAGTCTAGTCGTAAAAGATACGCTTAGTCGCAGGACTAAGTCCTTGACAACGGTGCATTGCGCAGGCGCAAAAACATAAACATTGTCCACTGTGTACAAACATGTATTATATTTGTAGTATGCATATGCTTGAATGTACAGAATAACACAAATTCTAAATTGATGAATCTATCTGAATAAAAAATGCATGGATTTATAGGGTCATGTAGGACATGTATTTTATAAGAAATCGATTTCAGTTAGTTTTTTTATGCAACATTTCAATAATGAAAGTCATAAAATGAAAGGAAAAAAGGCCGAAGTACATGTATTTCAGAATAAAGCTTAACTGTTTATTTTGGAATTTTAATTACAGACTCCACCTCCCCCTCTTCCCGAAATTGATACAGGTTAATGACTTTGCCTTTGATAATCAATTTCATGATTCGATAAACACTGATTCTACTAGCTGATAAATACTGATAATTATGTTTGAGACAGAATAAGATTTTAAAACTTTATTTTCTTAAAAAATGTAAAGAAATGTATACTTGCAAGCAAAAATAGTGCATAAAAATGCAAAAAGTTTACATATGTACACATTTTGAGTCAGGAATTAATATTTACACGTTTATTACCAAGGTACACGTAAAGCAATCCTCTTTAAGTCTATTGAAATTTTGTCAATTTAATTGATTCATTATTATATTCTTATTGTTTATTAAAATGGCACAAATGTACACAACATAATTTAGAAATAATATAGACTCTAGGTGCATGCTGTCATAGATTTTTTTCAGAAAGAGAGAGAGAGAGAGAGAGAGAGTGAGAGAGAGAGATATTCTTACAAATATTCTCTATTTTGATTTTTTTTTTCCTTTTGTGGTCTCTGTCTTTAAAATAAAGTCACAATTGCTTTTTATTTTGTTTTCATTAAAAATGTAAGTTACTAGTATGCGGGAAATCAAAAACGTATATTTTCATCTTACATATTTATGTGCTTTACATGCGCTCAAATTATCTTATACTATGTAAGATTTACTCTTTGAGACAAAATCATGAAAATGAAAGACGTCTTCTGTATCTATGTTTGTCTGATATATATATATATATATATATATATATATATATATATATATATATATATATATATATATATTAGGATTAATTTATTTTTGAACTTGACTGTGTATATTATTATCACAGTCTTACATCGATATTATGAAAGCAATAATATATATTTCCGCATTTCAAAAATCTCTTATTGTCTATGAAACCTCCCTCTCAGGGTTCCGTCTTAGATTCGCCAGGAACTTCACTTGTCCCAGATACCTAGAAAAATAATTACTTTCGCCTTTAACTGAGTACTCTGTATATTCATTGTTAGTTAATCTGAAAATTTGGGAGGTTCTGAACACTCTCTACGACCCCTTCTAGATCCACCCATGTTGACGAGGAGTACATAAGAAATGAACTCTTCAAACATGATATAAAAAAACTATTTGGTTTTAAGATAAGTTATTTTTATTAATTTTTTTTTTATTAAATGTAGAAAATTACCAGAGAGAGGATTATTGTGCTTTTGAAACCGATTTGTTTATTATTATTTTGTTTTTCAAAAAATATGTTTTAGGGAAAAAAATTTCTTTCAAAATAGACAATCTTAATGGGTCTCTTTTTAGTGAATGAAACAGAAAATATAACTAGAGGTACCGTAAGCAATTAGTTCAATAAAAGACCCCTCTCCCATATGAATATAGTGGCATTGTCCATGTTTTGCTATGGGAAACCTAAAATATATGTCGGATCAAATAGGACAATAAAGCAAATGACAATATTTAATAAAGATTCTGTGAAAGTTTCATCAAATTTCATTCAGTAGTATGAAAGGAGTTGCAAATAAGAGATGGGTACCCCAAAGCGTAACAGAGGGACGGACATCCCGATTACTATTATAGTAAGAAATGGTGATCGAATTAAGAAGTCTTTAATAAGACAATCTTTTCTTCTCAACAGAAATTAATTGAAATTTAAGTACGTTATTAATCATCAACTTCGTCCCCAAGTGGTTGTAACAGCCCCCCCCCCCCCACACACACACTCTTCATAGTATATATTATTAAATAATGCATTGTTTGTATTTTAAATACTTCTCAGAACCATGCTTTTTCTTTAGAACTCGCTAAAATGTTTTAAAATCATTAAAAAGGCTTTCTTTTAACTTTACGCTCAAACTTACGCCTACCCATGAGTAGACGTAAAATTTTGGCCTAAATTTAGTCAGGCGTAACGATACGCTCTTTAATGAAATGCTAATCTTAGTGCTAGTCCCTACTTTACGCCGGCGTAGCGCTACGACTAGGCGTACGACCTTTGATGAAACGGGCTCCTGGCTTTTTGATATCATTTACAGCTGCTTCAATAAAAATGGAACTCGTAAATTTACTTACCTCGTCATTGGTCATTTGCAAAATTATTTTGTTAAAACAGAGTCTGATTGCACACATAAGTACTCTGAAGTTGACATCAAGAAGATGCTTGAGTTTCTGATTGACAATATCTATGTGATTTTTGGAAACCAGGTATTCCAACAATCTATTGGAATACCCATTGTTACAAATTGCGCTCCGTTATTAGCAGACTTATTTTTATATTCATATGAAGCAGAATTTATGCAAAATCTTATGCTTGATATGAGGAAAACACTTGCTGTGGCCTTCAACTCGACATTTCGATTTATCGACGACGTATTGTCAATTAATAATGATAATTTCCATTCCTACGTCGATATAGGTGAGCTTGAGATATAAGACAACACGGAGTTCGACACTTCTGTGTCATACTTGGATATTTTACTTGAAAAAGACACTAATGGTTATCTAAAAACCAAACTATTTGATAAACGTGATGATTTTAACATTTCTATCGTCAATTTCCTTTACGTATGCAATATACCTTCATCACCTGCATTCGGAGTATATATATCTCAGTTGATAAGATACGCAAGAGCTTGCTCTACGTTAGAACAATTTCTAAAACGAGGTAAATTATTGACAAGCAAGTTGATGAAACAAGAATATCAAAAGTCTCGTTTAAAGTCATCATTTTGTCATTTCTATGGTCGATACAATGACCTTGTCAGCAAAAACAATTTATCATTGAGTCAAATGCTGACTGGTGTTTTTCATACCAATTGTAAGTCCATTATTTATACACCGAATTAAATTGACGACGGATTTTTTTCCGTTATTTCGTGATCATGACAAGGCGCACATGGCGGATGTGACCGATCGGCAGGGGATGTTCATTCCTCCATGGCACCTGATCCAACCTCTGATGTTTCTGGGGTCCGTGTTTGCTCTGCTCTTATTTTGTATTGTTTTATGGACTTTGAAATTGAATACTGTTCGTTATCTCCATATCCTTCCTTATTATAAGTTAAAACACTTATTTTGTTATGCTTTACTTCAAAATACACTCAATTTTAAACCTATACGCCAGGCATTTGACATAAGAGTTTTCTCCTGATAAACTTAGTCTTTACATTTGCTAGAAATACACTGCATCAAAATCAGTACATACCCTCTGGTGTGGTTTACGGATTTCAAATAAACTTCCTGTAAACAATAAAATCATATTTTACCCCTCTTTTCATAATCAGGAAATGAATTATATACTTTTTCTTTGAGCTTCCAGAAATTCGAGACGTGGTGTTGAGTAAAATCATGACATTCCCCTGCAACATAAGCAATCTTTCAAGCAAGAATGAATCGATCGACAGGACTTCTGCATTATCAAGGTTTTTGCACGAACGAGGTTAGGCTGAAAGGTTTAAGGACAGACAGACTGACACTTATTAGCGAGTGTTTAAAACTCTACTTCTCTCAAGCGCTCTAACTGATATATTAAAAAAAATCAATATCTTCTTGTGCTGATGGCTCTTTGTTCTACTGTTTGTAAATATTTTGTGTTAAGGAAGCTTTGATAAATAATAACTTTTTATTTGAAAAAGAAGTAACTTCAAAATCAATCTTGAATAAATAAAGTTCGTTTTCTGCACTAGTAACTTGCACAAAATTTCCTCATATATCCCTTGCATAAATACACGACTTGATTTGATTTTTAAACCACAATGCAAAAAATAAATACAAAGCACACCAATATAAAAGAGGGGAAGATTTCCGTATCCAGGTGTCAAATTTGATATTAATTTTCTCTCACTGTGTGACAATCCACCCGTACGTACACTTATTATCGCATCCTTAATTTGAATTTTAAAGGGAGTCATGGGAGCGATGATAGCCATAAATTTAACTAAACATATCAATTTAGTTAGACATAATTTAGCTAGTATAAAAGCTCTACTTTTTGCGCATCTTTCAAAATAGCCGTGTGAAGGATATAATTCTCTATATATCAGTGCCTAGTTTATAATTGATTTCCTGGTCTTCATCAGATATTAATTTTATCTTTATCATGATATATACGTTCTTGAGGTAAGATTATACTTTCATTTCCATATTGATATCTAACTCTTTTCTTAAACTATAGGTAGGTTACATGGTAGAATTATGCCAGACACTCTAAGCAGAAAAAAAATCATAAATCAAACTTTAATTGATTAATTTTAGTTCTCATGTTTACCTTAATATCAAAAGACTTTATATGTATCATAATCATTACTTTTGTTTTCATTTTTACAGAAAGGAGAGAATTATTCACAATGTTACCTTCGTCGTATTGTATACAACATGCACTCATGCATATCGTAAGAATTGCAAATTTTATGTTTGTTCATTGCATATTAATTACATATATAAGGTTCTGAACATATATGTTTATTTCCCGACCTAACATTTACACAAAATATCCATTTACATCAAAGCTTCTGCAATAGAGATTCTTTTTGGAAAACTACTTTATTCTTGCATGTGAAATATCTATAGTCAAAGAAAGAAGTTGAAGATTAGAATAGTATCATTTTTTTTTACAATAACTGATTAAAAAACAAGTTTTGATTTACGTATGAAAAGAAATAGAAGAAAGGAAATAGGCATGTTCTGAATTCGGCAAAGAAGGCTAATAATTATGTATAAAACAAAAACTATTATGGGTCAAACATTCATGTGATAAACATAAAGAACAGAGGAAACATGCATATCAGAAACATCGAAAGTACGATCAGGTGTCATGAAACTGTACTCATTTCCTGTCCAAAGATCACAACCGTCGTGTGCTCTTTGATATGATTGGGAAAACAAGAGAGACATCCGGGGAGAACTCAGTGTTATATAATAGCCTAAATATTGTATGAAAAACGCCAATCAGCAGCTGATATAATAATAGATTAAATTATATTGAATTGAATTATTTGACTAGGTTATTGAACATACCATTTAACTTGCTAAATGATGACTTGAAACTTGAAAAGTGTTTATCTTTGTTTCATCGACGTTTTTGTCAATGGACTGCCTTGTTTTAATAAAAATCCTTTAGAATACATACTCTAAAGCAGCGTCATTCCATATAACTTAATTTTAAAATCATTATACAACTCTGGGTGTAAAATAACGTTGCCTTTTATATGTTTACATTTGCCACTAAATGATACTACCATGGTACCAGAAGTGATGCAAAGCGAGGGGAGATATTAAGTGATACATATACCCAGCAGCCACGATGTTTGTTTGCATGTGGTTTGATTGGGTTACTGTATGATGTTAAAGATAAATTTATTAAATTTGGAATTTTCGATAAATCCCAAGGACTGGAAATGAGAGGATTGCATCGATACATATGATTCAGTTGGTTGTCAAAGGGGCGTGTCACCTTACCAAATCAGGTTATCCAAAAAAAAAATTGTGTTCCGTTTTGTATATTTAAATAATTAGAGGCTAGAATAAAAATTGAATAAAATTAAAGGAGGGTCAGGATTATTATATAGTTTTCTAGAGACAGAAAAATAAAAAGGTCATAAATTCATTTTTGTTATTTCTTTGTAAATAAAAAATATATATCTATGCCTTAAGATATAAATTGATTTGTTCTTTGCCTTTTTAAAGACAACTTAGCATTAAGGAAACCTGCATGGCAGGCAAATAACTATACACACACCATACCATGGGGAGCAGACAAGGCGGTGGATGGGTTGTATTCTGACCGTGGAGCACTAGGAAATCAGTGTACAATATCAGCAGACAAACAACAGACAGCAGAGTGGAGAGTGGATCTACAGAGTGTAGTCAGCATCAGTTACATCAACATCTTCTACAGGACAGATAATAATCCTGGTATCTTTAAAATATACCTGAACTATAAAACTATTTACAGAGTATATAAAAGATATTAGATTAATTCGTATATCAACAAAATATACCATAGTTTTAAAATTAAAAAAATAAAAAAAAAAACTCGAAAGAAAAATCATTGACCATAAATCAATAATAAAGAATATAACTTTGGCATGTAGGTTCTTACGTTGGTCGATTTGCTGGATTTTACGTCTATGTCTCCAACACGACTTCTAAAGAGGATGGAATACTCTGTTTCCATGAATTACAGAATATAAGCGGTACACCTCTAGAAGATCAGAGGATCAACTGCTCCGTATATGGACGATATGTTATATACTACAATGAACGTCGCAGACCAGATGTCGTTTATCCTATTTACTACTCTCAGTTTGCACTTAACGAACTTTGTGAAGTAGAGGTTTATGGTAAGTTCCAGCAGATACATGTAACTTTCATGTACATTTTACATGATATGTCCGAATTTTTCTCATCAATGCTTTCCTTTTTCGACTTAATTGAAAGTAAGAGGAATCATAAAGCTTTAAATAAGTAAATTAATCACCAATAATAATGATTTGTTGCACAGGCTGTCTAATCCCGAGATATTATGGAGACTTTTGTAACAAGACATGTCCAGTGACGTGTCAGGGACAGCAGTGTGACGCCGTTACTGGTGACTGTGTGAAAGGTTGTTTATCAGGGTATCAAGGTCAACACTGTAGTTATTGTAAGTAATTAAATAAAATGAATTAAATTTTTTTGTTCCTTTGTATCATATCTCCCTCTTTGTAATCAGTCATTATTTTCCTAATTTTCCTTTGATTTATCATTCACTTAAAAATAAATTACACATTGTCATTTTGTTCACAAGTAAATTTAGCCTTGGGGAGACCTGCCTGGCAGAAACACGATTGGCCAGGTAAACCAGTAGCATGGGGAGCATCGAAAGCAGTTGACGGGAAATATTCTGACAGTGGAGCTACTGGCGGACAGTGTACAATATCAGGCGATAATCAGCGAACAGCAGAGTGGAGAGTAGATCTAGAGAAAATCGTCAGCATTAGTCACATCCACATCTATTATAGGACTGATAATTTTCCAAGTATGAAATCGATTTTTATAAAATGAAAATCAGTTTTTCAAATTGACTGGCTTCAGCTTAACTTAAACTTTAACATAAACTTTAACTTAAAATTTTATAATCTTACTATATGCACAAACTGTATATGTTGAAAACTTTATTGTATCGATAGTATATAATCTGCAATGATGATATAAACAAGACTGTGATATCCTTGTTTCATTGACTTATGTGCCAATCTCTTGACTCGATTAAAATTTTTTTCGGAAGTTAAGCTTGCGTTGGCGCATCGAATGATCTCAATATAGAGGTAGTAGGGCATATTGCCACAAAAAATAAGGGAATTTTACGATAGACAAGTTGAAGGCTTCACGTTTGTCATAAAGTTACTGTGGTAAGTTACCATCAAGGCTTTGCTATTAAAACAAACGTCTATTAAACAGTTGTTTCTTATTTTGTTGTCTTTTATTTCGAGTTCATATGGATAGTTCGATTGTCGACCATATGAATGATAGTACATCGTCAATACCTTATATCTAAATGTTAACTTGAAGGGCACAAACGTCTATAAAATTATTTTTCATATGAATAAAAAATAAAACTACTAAAAAGCCATAAGAATTCGGTATGATTGCTTGAAAACCTGTTCTCCATAAACTACGTATACAATGTCAATTTGGAAACTTGAGCATATCTTTGCTATCAAATTCAGATTATTTATGTGAACAATCAGGGTGGTTTTCAACCAAAATATTGTATCTCTCAAACAAATGAAAAGGAAAAACCTCAAATTACATTAAAAAAAACAAATGGGCATGGTGCTCTGAGCCTGTACTTTTATCTGTTGTTAAGGAATGGTTTTTACTATAATTCCATGATTCCATTCTTAAAAGTTCATTGGAGCTGACATTGCGACCGAAAACGATCGATCGACAAGACGGATATTGTCTTAGCTTATCAGTTGTTTTTGTATACAAATTGGTGGTTATAATTTTTACACCTGACAAAACCGTACTAAGAAGACTGGCTCTACAGGTAAGATCGATAGAGACTGGATACTGTATACAGGGTTTTTTTCGTCCTGTTATTTTCGCCCTTTTTCACTTGCAAACAATTTTGCCCCGTTTAAAATTTCCCCCAGTCATAGTTCTGTTTAAGAAATTATCTGTGTAATTTGAATTCGCCCCGTTTTAAATTCGCCCAATGAAGAAGAGGGAGAAAGGGGCAAAAAAAATTGGGGGCGAAAATTTCCCTGCATACAGTACTTACTCCTCCGAGTCAACGGATCCAACCTCGGGATGCTCTTTTTCCCATTTTTATTTCCGACGTTTTAGCTTGAATAATGTGAGGTATTCAATATTTCATATAAAATATTTTGACATATTCATAGTTGAATTAGTGAATTATAATTTCAGTGCATTGCCTTATCATATCTTTTACAATATTTTGACATATTCATAGTTGAATAAGTGCACTATAATTCCAGTTGCAATGCAGCATTGCCTTATCATATATCTTTTACATTTATGCATAGAAAAAACTTCAACGCGATATTGCTGTTTCTATTATGCAGAAAATCATTCTAAAAATCCCTGATTTGCTTTGATTTCAATAAATCTGAAATCAACTACGAAAACACAAATGGCATTGATAATTGTTTTTTATTTGTTTAGGCCCTGGTGTATACTACAAAAGATTTGCTGGATTTTTTGTTTACGTTTCAAACGATACAAATAAAGACAATGGACGCCTTTGTTTTCATGAATTACAACAAGTGGACGGAACACCAACAGAGAACCAGACAATCAGCTGTCCTTATGACGGGCGTTACGTCATATACTACAACGAACGAAAGCCGGATGTGACGTATCCAAGCTACTACTCTCCATATGCTTACAGTGAATTGTGTGAATTGGAGGTTTACGGTGAGTTTTAAAATATACAATAATATTTATTTCATATGCTATCGTCTTTTTAAAAGTACTTATATTATTTACACATTTTCCTAAAAAGACAATTCATATTTTTCTTATACCTAACAGGGTGCCCTGAATCTAAGTACTACGGCCAGTATTGTGACCAATTATGTCCAGAAAACTGCCTCGAGCAAAGGTGTAATATCTCTACAGGATACTGTATTGAGTGTAAACCGGGTTATAAAGGACATCGATGTAGTGAGCGTAAGTAAATTTTAAAAAATTAATTTATCATATGAAAAGAAATGCACAATATTGGAAGTAAATGAAAGTGTGAATCGTTTTAAATGGATCTACATTTCCTTCTCATGTCATTTTTCCGCTAAGATTCATTTTTTATATTCAAAGATATTATGTCAAATAATTTTGGATAAAAATTTCTGGTTCAACATCTGTTTAATTATTTGCAAATTCTTAAACCTGTGCCTAAATATTGAAAGGTAGGAGCTTTGACATTGTTTTCATGTCTATTTCCTTTGGAATATCTTTTCTGTTGATACAAACTATTGTGACTAATGCACTCTTACTAAAAAGGTAACCTGTTTTTCAAAAATACGACACATACTCCACGTGTATTCCTTTAAATTGTATCATAATTCTCCTTCCCTTTCCTTTGGATTTTTCTTCTTTTGAAAAATAACATCATGGCCATAGTCTTTAATATATGTGCATTTTATTTAAAAAAGTTATTACTGATTTTGCTGTATCATATGAAAAAAATAATTCTAAAGTATGTTTAGTTTTTGTGGGTTGTTGAATGATGGTACATGTATGGACAGTGGGTTTCATTAAACATAACGTTACATACATGTTTCTAAATTAAAGAATGTGACGGTAGAATGTACGGACCTGCCTGCAGTCAGAGTTGTGGATATTGTCTACATAATACACAATGTCATCACATCAACGGTACCTGTTTAGGAGGTTGTTCTGCGGGATACGAAGGACCTTTATGTCAAAAACGTATGAAGTTATTTATCCTATTATGAATGCTGAAGTAGAAAACATATTGGTACATGTGGATTAAACATGTATATGTTCTTAAATTTATATTTAATATGTAAGCGTTTAGGAATTGTTTTCAGTAATCATATTTCTAATACATTATTTACTTTCTATATGTTAAACAATAACGATTCTGGCGCAATTGAAAAAAAACATACCTGGTGATAAGGAGTACAGTAATTGATTATGATTTGAAGAAAACATTTATTTCTAAGAATGTGACGGTGGAAGGTTTGGCCTGGAATGTAATACCACCTGTGGACATTGTCTTAATGGTGCTTATTGTAACCGCATTGACGGATCATGTACAGATGGGTGTTCTCCTGGATATAAGGCTCCCCTTTGTATCAACAGTGAGTAACAATAAATAGCTAACATCACCTCGTGTCTAGAACTTAGAGATTACTTCAAAACACCTTCCAGAAATATATTTTGTTTGCAAAAAAGTAATTAAAAATGAAAGCAATGTTTTATTATTTGTTCGTTATATTAATGACCTAAACATTTTTGTCTACTTGTGAAAACAAGTTTGAGTATAAATATCTTAAGGGGAGACCGGACACATGTCACATGACTAAAAAGACATATCACGTCATAATCGGTGATGATATACCTGTTAAACGTTGTTAAGATAAACAGTTCTTGTGTAGTTTTATTCTAATTTCGAAAATTGTTTTTTCAACATTTAATTTTAGAAATTATTATTAATAAATTTTTTAAATATCTTGCAATCATTTAGAAATTGTGAAGTTGCCCAATCCACACATTTGTTTCTTATCCTGCAGTCTGACGTCAGTGACGTCATAGACGTAGTGTTTGAATTTTCTCAGTGCAGCAAGATCAAGTACACACACCCGTCATGATCAGTTTTATTTCATTATGAAAAGGTGACAGCCAATAAATCGTGATAAATTTCTGAAGCAGATTTTTTAAAATTAATATTTTTATCGTGTTTAGTAGCAGAGATTCAATCTATTTAGATAATTTTGAATGTTTATATTTTCGTGTGACGTCACAATTGATTTCCCACACTCGGAAAATACAAACGTGAAGCGTTTTAATCATGCTTACGTCTAATTCAACGATGTCCTGTGCGATATTGAGTTTAGCTTCACCCTGTGATATTTATGCAGTAAATAATTACGATGAAGGACTGCCATTCAATCGTAAATTTAGAAATATTTATTGACAGAATTTTTTTCAAAATGAGGTTTTTGTCGAAGCTGCCTTGAAAAATACAGAAATTATCCCACCCAAATACTATATAAACTTAAAACAAGTGCTTTCAGATAATTTAAACACTATGAATATTATGAAATATTTGAGTATATGGTGTTATCTATCATATTTATCGTTTGTGCGTAAAAAGTCGCATTATGGACTCCGTTATGGGCCCGTAAACATGAAGTATCTTAATTCCATACAAACTCTAAACAGGGTGGTATTTGCTGGGCGATATCTTTTAAATAAGTCAAGAAATTCAATGATACGACCGTTTTAAAAATGTTAAGTACATAGTAAATTAGTAATATGAAAAATACGAAAAAAATTCATTGACAGGAATTTTTTCAGCTAAAGGTCCTGTTAGGAGATTGAAAATATATCATAACTTCAATTAAGAATGCGAGGGATAAAGTTACTTATGTTAAGGGGATGAAGGATGTATGGTCACGTGACTCAGTTGATTTACGTCATAATCTCTGATAAAATATGTACAAAACGAGATTGAAACCACAGTACTTGCATAATTTTTTTGACTGTTTGTTTGCGTTCACCATCTAGTATAAAAATATCTGAAAACATTCAAAATTTCTTGCAAATATTATCAAATTACGGAAAAGATTAATTCACTCTGCCGTTTCCCTACTCTGCGCGTCCAGTGCGTCTTTGACGTCATAGTGGATCTCTTAGTTCAGTAAGATCATACACGGTAAAAACGGGTAGTATAAAATCATAAAAACGCGCCATAATATGTACATGGTAGGGTATTTTGTAAATTTCAGAACGCAAAAAATATTTTTACATGGTTGTTGACGGAAAAGTTCTGTGGGTTTGTCTTATTTCGCTTATTTCAGGAATGTGAGACGTCATAGTTGGGTTTTCCCGTACTCGAGAAATGTAAACATGACACGTTTTTCTCATGAACATGACTCGTTTAACTTTGCCCCGTGCAATATTGAGCTCAGCTTCACCAATCGATATTTTTACAGTTAATCAATACAATGACGACCTTGAACTTCGACGTAAATTTTCAAATATTGAATGATAGGATTTTTTGCAAATTAATTTTTTTTATAGTTCAAGTTGTCCTAAAAGAGTCGTAAATTTCCATCTCCAGATGTGGTGTTACAAAAGAATCTTGCTTTTTCGAATTTTTAACCCTATTCATACTCTAAAATATTTTAAAAGACACATTTCCGCTGTTATATTTTTTATCTATGGTAAAAAATTTCAATTATCGACCGAGTAATGGACCCAGAAACATGGAGAATAAAAACTTTGCTCAGACACTGTGGGGTATGTTATTTGTCACTCAATATCTCAGAAATAAGTCTAGAAACCTATTGATATGACTGCTTTATAGTATGTAGGACATACTAAATAAGATATATACAAAATATGAAAAAAATTAAATGACAGGTATTTTTTTCAGCTAAAGGTCCTTCATCCCCTTAATGTGATATGTGCGATCAGAAAATTAATTAAGAACATATAAACAATTCTTGTTCAGACCGTTTCTCTGCGAGACACGAAAGAAGGTTAAAAATATCACGAATTTTCAAGCAAATTTCTGATATATATATTAAAGAATCAGTGTTTAAAAAAGTCGCTTATGGATTAATGGAAGTACAATTAATTTTTTTACACTTTCTGGAAGAATGTGACGGCGAAAAGTTTGGCTTAAAATGCAATGAAACCTGTGGACATTGTCTTGATGGCGTGCCCTGTCACCACATCAATGGATCATGTCTAGGAGGGTGTTCTCCTGGATACAATGGATCCTTCTGTATCGACAGTAAGTGTACAACTAAACGTCAACAATTCCAAGCTTACTTCAAGCTATATCACAAGGTTTATAAATACATTTTAATATTTAGTCCAAATAATAATCCTTCTCATATATTTTTTTCCTGATTAAAAACAAAAACAAAAACAAACTATAGGTGTCAATAACTGTAAAACAGTGGTGATAAATATAAGCACATTGGTCAAATGTATATAAAAATATTTAAGAGTGTGATGGAGGATGGTATGGATCATCCTGCAGTGAGGAATGTGATCATTGTTTTAATGATACTGCGTGTCATCATATCAACGGTTCTTGTAGCAGAGGTTGCTCTGCTGGATTTAAGGCACCCCTCTGTATAGACAGTAAGTTTTATAATTCATTCAGTGCCTACGATTTAAGGCTTACTTCAACGGATACTTGAAGCAATTAATACTTTCAAGCAAAATTAAAGTTCTATCGATATACAATGATTTTTTGGTGAAAATTTAAAAAAAAAAATACATGTATCTTTTTTCTTTTGAGAAAAATATAAAAGCAGTAATATCTTGAAAATGGCCCTTTAGGAGATACAAATTCCCAGAAATGTATCAAAACTGCATAACTTGGTCAAAATTGGTCAAATTAATACCAAGGTAAAGGTCAAGAAGTCAAATTTGGTGGTGTCTTAAGAAGGATCTTGTCATAAGGAATACACCTGTGAAATATGACAGCCATATTCCCACCCAAGATTAAGAGATAAAATGTTATAGTACCCAAAGACAGATCTTTTCACAAAGAATACACCTTTGAAATACTTTACTTTGAATTACACAGTGTAACCATGTCATAGGTGCATGTTCAGATGGGTGTTTTTTTGGTTTCAAGGGTTTACTTTGTGACCAAGATATCACATTTTCTATTTTGAAGTTATTATTATGGAAATATGTTTTTTTTTTTGGACCAAAATAAACCAATTATTACAAAAACCTGAATGATAGATTTAAAAAGGAGTAGATATGAATTCATTCGAGAGGAAGATCTTGTTTCAATCTTATGCAGAAATATGCCATAATAATTTCAGATCAGGTAAGGTGATCAAGTCTCCTATCAATATCCGCAAGTGTCCTATCACTCCCGCGGATATAGTCCATGACTTTGTGGAAATTAGATGATAGTCATTGCTTCCCCCCTAATAATTGTTAAATCAGCCAAAGTTTGTCCAAAGTCTTAACCCTTCAATTCATAAGACTTATAAACGCATAATGGATACATAATTTACAATTTATTTATTTGATCGTTCACAATAACTTTATATAATTTAATTTTGGTTGTAACGCTGTATTTGATTGGATAAAAAATTATTTCATATCGTATAAAATGGGTTGCCTACGTCACAATGACTTGCGTCAAAAACGTATCAGTCCGCCTGACGTTACATTCAAATTTTGTACAAACTGAAGTCACTTTGTTAGAACAATCATATTTTTTTCTTACATCAAATGAATGAAAATTAAATTATGTGCTATGAATTTAATAGCTACCCATTTTATACGGTATAAACTGGGTTGGAACAGTTTACGCTTTTTTATAAACCGCTGCCCCAACCCAGTTTATACCGTATAAAATGGGTAGCTATTAAATTCATTCCTTAAATACAATTTGTTTTTGTATAATTTTCTTTAGCATGTATGAAACTTCTTTACATTTAGTAATAGGAAACATATCAAAAAACATTACAGGACTAGTTTCATAGTAATTTACCGGATTAAACAAGATTTCATTAAGACAGCATTTTAAATAATTGAGTTGAATGAAAGTATCTTGAATTAAAATTTTATTAGACAGGATATAGGAATGTACAACATCTATATAAGTCAAGATTCAGAGTTCTAATATTATAATGAAAAACATCAGTAGTGCGCGTTTATTAAGTATATTTCATCTAGGACATCTTGGGTTTTTTAGTAAGTACACTGTACATGTAAATTACGAATTTAACGTATTTTTCATAATATATAATATCAGGGTGCCAGGAATGGTAATGAATCTTATTTGAATTTAAAAAAAAGAATGGAATGAAATTTTACTTCAAAATATGACTTTATGAGTTATGGTTCTACGTCAACCAGAAAACATAACCAATATATTAAAGAACTATGCTCTTAAAATGTCTTTTCTACAGAATGTGACGGCAGGATGTATGGAGGTAACTGTTCTCAGACCTGTGGTCACTGCTTTAACAATGAACAGTGTCACCATATCAACGGTACCTGTTTACAGGGATGTTCTCCTGGATACAAGGGACCGGGCTGCAAAACCAGTAATTTATTACTATCTTTGTTTATAAGGGTTTTGACAAATTTATATGTGCATGTATAAGAACTTGTATATTCCACACTGAAAATAATATATCTTTGATATGTATTCAAATTTAGCAAAACGTTTGCACAATAAAGATACTCAATTGCCCTTCACCAGTAAATTGTAACGTCTCTGTGTGACTGAGCATTCTTAATTCGACTTTAAGCAAAATAAAATTAATTAATCAATAAGATACAGAGTTTTACCTGCCACATAAATATTTTTTTTAAAAATCGCTGAATAATGTCTTGTTCATAACACAGGGCTTTTTCTTAATAAAAATCTTTGAAAATATCTAGAATGTGATGGTGGGATGTATGGTATAAACTGCAATGAAGCTTGTGGTCACTGCTTAAACAATGGACAGTGTCATCATATCAATGGTACTTGTTTACACGGATGTTCTCCTGGATACAAGGGACCGGGCTGTAAAATAAGTAATTTATTATCATCTTTGTTTATTAATGACATACGGAAGCCTTACCTACTGATAATTTTTTTCAAGATATTCTTAATTAAAGACCATAATGCCATTAGATGATCATAGATTAAAAAAAAATCAGCATGCATTACCAGGGGTTTTTGGAAGATATCAAATTATGAAAATTTTTTGCATTATTCAAAGAAAAGAATACAAAAATTAGGAAACATAAATTCCTGATTTTTCCTATCAAAATTTGTTTTAGAAGAGGTGTACAAATCCATAGATAGAGTAATTATAGACTTTAAAAGTATTGGACACAGGTTCTTCAATTAGTGTAACTCTTCAACTCCAGGAAGTCAAACTACGTTGCATATGACCTTAAAGGAAACGTTGGGTCTAAATTTTTTTTTGATATTTCATTCATTGAATGGTCAATAATGAATTTTACCTGTTACTGCCATTTGTTTTAGCTTAATTATAAAGTAATAAGACATCAAAGTTAAGAGTAAACTGGCTGCTGGAGGCTGCCATGTTGAGAGATAGTTATCGCGCTTGCTAAATATTTCCCATAATCCTCACTTTTATGACGTATTTCAGGCCATTTGGCTCTAAGTGTAAACATTATCATGTCGAAATCAAGTTGTTAAAATGTGCCAATTAAGTGTGTGAAGTTTGATTTTGGAACTGAATGTATTATAGGAAATATAATTTTACATTCCTATGCTTCTAGTGTTTCAGAATTCAGGAAAATAAAAGAAGGAATTAATAATAAAAAGCCATAAACTGGTCGGATTTAACTTTAATTTAAAACTTAGCTGCAAAGGTTGTATTATTTTACATGAGTTTAATTAAAACTTTATTAAGTTCTAATGTGTCCAAAAAGGATGTTACGCAGTACAGTTAAGGCAACTTTTTCTATAAAAACTAACAAAATCCGATACATATAATGTTTAACAGTTTTATTTTTGAGAAAGACACTCTAGTTAGAATAGCTATTTCTTATCTTGAAGAGTATGTCCATCGCTTTTCACACCGGTATTTTTTAACATCATATGATCCCCTGAAGTCACGTGGGCTCCGATTTTAGGTCAAGAAATGAGATGTCAAATTTAACCAAAAAGTGCAAGGGCAAGGCAACCAAAAAATTAACTGCAAAATGTTTTATGTTGTCTCTATGTATCTATACATTCTCAAAAGTGATGCTCATTCAGTTAGTTTTCCGATATAATTAAGTTATTCAGCTAAAACAGGCAGTAATGTATGAAAACTAGGATATTTTCCTAATTTCATCGCGAATTATAAATTAACTAAAGGATTACAAAGAAATGAGCATCACTTTTTTAAAACTTTACAATAAAATAAATAATTTAAAATAAAAACCTACTTTTTAGATTGTCGCCTTGCCCTTGCACTTTTTGATTGAAAATTGAAATCTTGGAAAAGTCAATCTAATTTTAGTTTTCAAACGCATCATTGACCCAGCATGGGAGATAACTCTTGAGTACTTGATATAGTTTGTTTATCTCGTAAGTTTTAAATAAATATACATGCGATCAGGGTTGGACTCTTTTCTTTTACTTAATCAAACGGTATGCATAAAAATCCTTGACATTTCTTTCTTTTCTGTGTATTCGTTCTCCATATATTGTATACATTTAATGTCTTTCAAACCTCCCGCATTTCCTCAAAGATGTGTTATATATACGTATACATGTAGTATTACACACAAACAGGTCTAAATATTGCCGATATATTTATGTAGAACACAAATGGTTATTTAAAATATTGCCTTCATCAATAATTAATTAGATATCTATTCCCCTCTCTCATTACTGTACGCAAAGGCGTCGGAACCGGGGGGGGGGGGGGGGGGGGGGGGGCTGGGGCTTAGCCTCCCTACTTATTTGCAAATTATATACGTAATGTAGGCAATGGAATTTACCTTTTTCGTTTGGTTAAGCCCCCTTCCCCTTTCAATTAGCCCCCCTTTCATTTTGCTTCCGACGCCCATAGTACACACACTTGTGATGATAATTTTTTTTTCTACATAATTATGAGATCATGTTCTACGATCGCTTTCAATCAGACCGCTTACTGTGTCAATCAAACCGCTTACTGTTAATTAAGGGATATAAACTAAGTTATAAGTTTTAGGTACTAATTAGAAAGAATTGGGGTATATTCCTGTATTTGTTAAGGGGACAGCTATTTTATTTCGAGGGTGAGGGACTGGCAGATTTTAGAAATAAATACTTGCAGATCAGTGATCTCCCCCTCCCACGAATCAGAGTTTTTAACATTTTGTTTTTTGCATGTTAGACTTTTCAATGAAGGGGAAAATAAATAAATAATCTGTCCTTCATCTTATTAATCGGAAATAAATATTAATCTGTCCTTCACTGACATGAAAATGAAAAAAAAATCTGATTTTGAAAAACCCGCCTGCCCCCCCCCCCCCAAATGGTGGTCCCCTATCCTATTTTGAATCAATTATGGGGATAGCTAGTCTCTTGTTTTTTTTAAATATTATTGAAAAATAAATGAACACAATGTACATGCTGGAAATAAGATCTTCATGGACATTAGTACCCTCCACACAAAATAGTATGCAAGTTAAGATTTTAAAATCTTAATGGCCTTTTCAACACCTGTATAGTAAATATATGAAAAAGTCTAATTATTATTTATCTAGAAAATTTATTAAACGTTTCTTTTCAAATCCAGTGATAGACTGTAGGAATGCTGGGCAGGTGCAAATTACCATTACTTCATGTTCTTGTGGAAAAAATGAATTCTTAAAATATGAGAAAATCAGAAAATACCATTATTGAAAGTAATTTGTGTTTAAAAAAATGAAATAAAAAAAATGCATTAAAACATTTAACAAAGATGCACATACATGTTTTCAATTCTTCTGTTAGTTTTATTATCAAAACTTTGTATGGTTTATAGCTAATATTGAGCATACCATTTTCCTTAAATGATGGATTAACTTCCTGCCTGAATGAATCCATTAGTCCATGGGAATAGCTATGCCTACAACACATTATGCAGTTATATGCTATGACATTACTAAATATACATTGTAGAATAAAATGGCATTACATTTTACAAAAAAAAAATATGCTACATTGTATACTGTAGTGAATTTATGTTATTCATATAAATGGAAAAAAAATTCTCTGGGAAAGTGAAACTTCTGAAATTTACAATAGTTTTGCTAAAAAAAAATTCTGAGTTTCTCCTTTACCAAAATGAAAAAAAAAACAAAATATAAAGCACATGCAAACATTAAAAATGTGAAATGCTTTAGAAGCATACATACCCTGTGGAGAAATGATGCATTTTTTATTTATTCATTCTTTAAGCCTGATACTCTTGACAGCTACAATGAAAAAAGTATTATATAAATATTCTAATGTACATGTAATCTAAACAAAAAATGAATATTTTTTTCATTAATTTAGAAATTCTAGAAAATTACAACCATAGATCTGAATTGGGGCTTCTTTGTTTTCAACACAATGATACTGATATTTTTTTTAATTGTGTATATTTGTATGTCAAAAGACATCATGATAGCTTGTATAGGCCTAGTCACTATAGTGAATCATTGACTGAAACAATGAAAACATCTCATTTAATTTAGTTTAAATTTGAGTTACTGATGACCTCCATTCTTACACATATTGTCTCATTGAAAATGAGTTAATTGACAGGAACTCAGTACATATTAAGTGCAATTAATTTTTAATAATTCTAAAAAGTGTGCAACTTAGTATAGGGGGGGGGAGGGGTACACACAAGGCACTGCATTACAGTTTTTCACTGACTGTGATAATACATTTAAATGAACATGAGCACACTCGGGTTTTTTATTTTAACAAAAGCATGTCTACATATTGTAGATCTACACATGTACCTACATATTATGCGTACACATACCTGGCCTGGAATTTCAGTGCAGTGATGGATCTACGGAGCTGGTGCAAATCGTCTCAGTTTTCTGCTATTTTCCGAAATAATGTCCTCATATTCTCGTAAAAGGAAGAAGCAATGCCTTGTCTCTTATTTTATCCCTATTTGCTTTAAAGATTGTGTGGTTAATGCATTTAAATCCACTGCGAATCTCAGCTGATGTCGCCACGTTTTTCTATGTAAACAACATTCCGTGTCACCGAGTGCAAGCGCTTGGCTGAAGCCGAATGCAGACAAATGACACATTAAAAAGAGATTTATTTAAAAGAGATGCTATCTGATGCTATATACGAGAAAATCACTAATTATATTCTATTTCAACGTAAAGATATTGCTGTTTATGACAAATTCTTGCAAATATCGGTTAAAAGTTATTTTGAGCACCATTTCCTTATATGGATCGATCAGGGCGGAGCAACTGTCATGACGTCAGACCTCATTATGACTTCATTACCATATTTTTTTCATGTGTTGCCTTAACTGTACTGCGTAATCTAATTCCTATAAATCAAAAATTGCTTGAATTAGCTTATTTCTGAAAGAAGGAATTTTATTTTTCTGCAGTCATAAACACATTGACTCTATACATCTGTCAAATTTAATCTGTCTACACTACGTCAGCAGCGGTCATGATAAGGTTTCCCCATGCTGCTCCAATTAAGCTATCAAAATCCAATTTAACTGCTGTTATCAGCAGCGCAGTGTTGTTATAGATGCAGCTTTTCTTTTTATATGAGAGGTACAGTTTTACATATAAAAATTTAAATTCTGACCAAACGTTCCCTTTAAAGAAAATACGTATAAGAATGGAGATAAATTTGCACCTGTACAATATGTAAGAAAGTGAAATACTTAATGAAAGAATGAACGTATTACCACCTTTATAAACAGTTTATTTATCTTTTATAGTATATATTCTAATCAAGCATTAAGAAAAAGAGCAATGATTTTGATAGAGTGTGATGGAGGTATGTATGGATACAACTGCAGCCAAAAGTGTGGAAATTGTATAAATGATACACAGTGTAATCACGTCAACGGTACATGTCGAGAAGGGTGTGCTGTAGGATTCAAAGTATTGCTTTGTGAACAAGGTACTTGTCAACAATCCCCTATGCGGAGTTGTCGTTCGTTTCTCTCTCAAACACCTCTGTAATGGGCTCACGTCAAGATTTTTGACATAACGTATAAAACGGGGATATTTGCAGGATTATTTCAAATCGAATTAATAGTTCTTGATATATTTAGTAAATGTCTATTTAAAAACTCAAATATAAGCATAGAAATTGAATTATAATGAATTTAAACAAATGCACTATTTCTCTTGTTTATCACTATACACGAGCCAACAACAGAGGAGAATGTCTGAACCGATGGTAGATAGTGATTTGTCAATACAAATGTTTAAAAATATAGAGGTACGATACTCACTTGCTGACAATAGAAACAAATAATTAAGAAATACCTTAAGGTACATTTTAAAAACAGGGATGTGTAGCGGGTCTATTTTACTGAAGGAGCGCACCCTTTTCTTGGGAAAATATATTTTTAAAGAAGACAACCATAGGGTGATTGAATTGTACTCCCTTCGAGCAACTATTAGAAAAAGAGATATTCAATGTTGATTGTATAACTGAATACATTGGAAATCTTTCAAAGGGACTGAATTTAAGGGGGGACCTATGTCGTTCTACGTCAAAGCAGCGTTATGTGACGTCACAATAGCGACGTTTGTTTTTTACCTGTTGACTTTTGCAATTGTGATATAGGCATTACATTGCTAATAATCAATAACGTACACAATTTACAAAAAGAAAATTTATTCATTATTCATAACAGTTTTATTTGATTAAAGGAGTTTGTTAATATTAGAATTCTCTTCCTTTGGTTGATAATTCATAGCAATTTCAGTTGTGAAGAAATACCTCGATGATATGCTGATATATAAGGGCAAAAAGATAAAATAAAATTCAGCAAAGAAAGCGGCTTAAATTATGGAAATATGTTTGATTTTGTTACCCATTAATTGTGTTTTCTGGATAAAACTAAGAGAAAAAATTCAGAAATGTACTTGTATCTATATTTGCTTAACGATTTATAGTACATGTAGAATTTATTGTACAAAGTCATTCCTAGGTGTTGGTTGTCGACGGAGAAATGCAAGGGGGGGGGAGAGAAACAGAACGATCGGTATGAAGAAGATAAGAATTCAGTTTCTAATCAAAACATATGACTTGTTTTTCGTAAAATAGTTTTATATTCAGATGTTTGTCGGTGTTTACTTACCTTCTTAAGTGCAGAAAAGTCAATATTTACGACACAAGAGTGCGAAAATAAAAGAAAACATCATATTTCTCGTTTATTTTATCATAAAGGTATACTTTTTTCTTTGTTAAAATAAAGAGATGAATCATTTCTATTAAAAATATGAATTACAACATTTTCACACAAAGACTTTTAAAGATATTACCTGTTACGCATGTTGGAATTTTAAAAAATACGACAAGAAAAAGGGGGAATACTTACATTGTGCTCCAAAATATTTTTTCATGCGAGATGAATTACAATGAATTTGCCTTCATTTGAAAAATACAAGTCATATAAATTAAATAATGTTGAATTTGAATGTGTTTTGACATTTTTGGTTGTTTTTAGCGCATATTTGGGGTAGAACAATAATGTCTGAAAATAATCTATTTTTAGCATTTCACATTGTTTTTGCACGTGCTCCTGTGTAAAAAAAAAGCATATAAAGGTATTGTTTTTAATACCTGAAAATTAAGAGCAAGTGGTCAGGAAAGAAATGTCAAAGTTTTGAAAATTTCACACAAAGACTTTTCCGACATAGGTCCCCCCTTAAAGGGAAAAAATATTTTAATAAGCATAAGTCACTGAAAAAGGTATGCTTTTTTCTTTTAAATTCTAATTTTCCAATATTCGAAGACCTTTGTATGTGTATTGATTTTTTTCAAATATAAACTTAACGGCTGTTATACTTGACATTCAGAGGTCTCCCCTTAAATGTTTTATCCACCATGGCAAGGTTTTAAAGTGTTATATGTATTAAATATCATTCCCGTGAATTCAGACCCGCCAAAGAATATCATTTCCTTATCTTTTGTCATTCATATCTTTGGGTAGATTTTTGTTAAATACAACAAATCAATAAAGTAGGAAGGGGCTAAAAAATGGGTAATAATATATACAAAAAATTACCCATTCATCCATTTTCAAAATTCATTTTCAGAATGTGATGGGGGAATGTATGGTATAAACTGCACTCAGTCCTGTGGTCACTGCTTAAACAATGAACAGTGTCATCACATCAATGGTACCTGTTTAAAGGGATGTTCTCCTGGATACAAGGGATCCCTCTGTAGGACGGGTAATTTGTTATCAATCTGTATTGAATTAATTTTTACAAGAAATATCAAGATTTCATCACTTATATATACCATAATGATATTCCTTATATATTTATAAAGATTTGCAAAATTTATAGAAGAAAACTATTTGATAAAAGAATAGTAACATTATATATTAACGAAAACTGAGAGAATGATATGGCACCTGATCCTACCTTTCATGTTTTTGAGGTCCTTGTTTGTTCTGCTCCTACTTTGTTTTGTTTTATGGACTTTTGGTCTTGAGTACTGGAGGTTATCTCTGTATGTTTCATGATAATGGTTAATAAAAAAATAAAATATGTAGAATGTGATGGTGGAATGTATGGTATTAACTGCAATCAAGTCTGTGGTCACTGCCTAAATTATGAACAGTGTCATCATATCAACGGTACTTGTTCAAAAGGATGTTCTAAAGGATACAAAGGATATCTCTGCAACTCTGGTATAGTATCAACATCCCTGTTCTTCCCAAAACCTTGTAAATATTTTATCGGGAATTTTTGTATATAAACTACGAATCGTAGAATTTTTGTTTTCTAATTGATACAAAATAAAACAGATTGTGAGGGAAAATTCTTAATCTAAAATAGCGTGTGATGGAAGTATGTATGGAAATCACTGTAACCAAAGCTGTGGACATTGTATTAACAATATTCAGTGTAACCACGTCAATGGTTTATGTTATGAAGGATGCTCAGTGGGATTCAAAAGATTACTTTGCGACAAAGGTATCGTTTTTTCAATTTCGATGTCAATTATACAGTGCCATTGAGACTTTCAAAAATGTTTATGAACATCAGATTTTGAATGAGCCTTATCGATATGCAAACCTTCTCAGAAAATGATATTTTTTTATTGGATAAAGGGGTATATTTCTTATAATTGACCTAATAATTGAGATATCTGTAAAATATAAAGCATAAATGAAAAACAATGTGTATTCTTTTAATCATTAGGGTAATTGAAATATTCTTTCACGCAGGACTTGAGTGATTGGTTTGACATGTACCGGCTTCAGTTAAAACCGAATAGCTTGCATATGTTTAATAATTCTTTCAAAACCTTTTTTAAACTAATATTCAGCGTGTGATGGTGGAATGTATGGAATTAATTGCAATCAAATCTGTGGTCACTGTGTGAATGACGAACAGTGCCATCATGTTAAAGGTACTTGTCAACAAGGATGTTCCAGAGGATACAAGGGGCCCCTCTGCAAAGCTGGTACGTTATTTTTGTATGTATTATAGAGGTGCGGATGGTGGTTTAAGAATCCGTGTGTAGAATAGGTTTTTGACATCCAGATCTAAACTATAGCATACATACATAACAAAGAACACAGAAGCGTATCCAATTTTGTTTGCATCTCTGAATTTTGTTTCTCTTTTAGGCATTTGTTCATAATCTCTCATACTACATGTAGATATCCAAACTTTTATACAGTGTATGTCATATTCTCCAACTGGGGTTTTATTGTGTGAAACTCAATAGAAAAGCTCTTCATTTATTATGCCATATATAACTTACATTGACTTCAGTGTACTAAATGTGCTAGGTGTGGGGAAAATCTACCGTCCAGGTATTTTTCAGGGTCCGTCTCAATATGCAGGTACATTTACTATGGGATTGTTTACGAAAGAGCCAAATTTTCGCACTTTATAGCAAAAATAATACAAATACTCCTAGTTTTTTGTCTCAAGCTATAAAATATGATGAATAATACTAATTTGTATATTAAAAATCATAAAATTTTACTGTCTTGTTTCCAGAATTTAAATGAAGATAAATTAACGATTTTTCCTGTTTTTACAGAGTACTACATGACGGATACAAAGGATTACTACTAAAAAATTATAAGAATGATGAAGAGATTCTTAAATTTCTATGTTTTCAATTTCAGGAACATGTATTAATTACTTTATCTGTTATAACATTCTTAATACCTCTGATTTAAGAACTTCACGTTCTCATAACAGCACCGGATCATAACGACGTCAAACTTCCTATCAGATGAAAAACCCCAGTCGGCTCCTCTAATTCATTGCATTTGCAAAGGGTTGTACAATGTAGCTATACTCGATAAAAATGCTTAAAAGAATTTGAATATTTTTTAAGGTATTGTTTTATTAGCATTGTGTTTGTACTATAAAAAAAGTTTTGAGGAGAAAAAAAAATCTAATAATATTTTAAGTACAAAAAACGAAACAGGATGTCAGCGATAAGTATAATTTTTAATAGAGTGTGAAGGTGGAGAGTATGGTTATAACTGCAATGAAAGCTGTGGACATTGTATGAACAATACCACGTGTAACCATGTCAACGGTTCATGTTCAGAAGGGTGTGCTGTAGGATACGAAGGACTTCTTTGTACGAATGGTATATTTTATTTCAGCTTTTTTTTTGCCTTGAATATATATTCATATGTGTGCTCTATCATGAAACACTTCAATATCTAGTTTTTGGTTGTCAGTATTTACACATGTTGACAATGTCCTTCAAACTGTTAATTAATTTGTAGTTTGTAGACGATCGTACTGGGGAGTCAATTGTAAAGAGAACTGTAGTACAGAGTGTGTCAGCCAAACTTGTCATCATGAGTCAGGGCATTGTCTAGCATATGCACAGGTAATATCATTAATAAAACAGGGGAAGGATATAGCAACTAAAAAAAGAATTTTTAAAAATAGATGATGGAATAATTACCTTTTAATTTATTTTATTTGCATTTTTCTTAAGTTGAAATCAATTTCCTTTTAAGATTAACTATAAAGTATAAATGCATAATTATGTCAAAAATGTTCCACATATGTATTGTAGTCTTCTTTTGAACAATTTTGACAGGCACAGTCTTGTAACACGTGTAAGAATGACTACACAGTGACCATTTCAAGTGTGGTTGTCTCTTTATTAATTGTTCTGATGGGAAGCCTTCTTAATTTTCTAATCTGGAGGAAAATGCAGCGTGCGTAAATGTTTTATTTCTATATTTGCAATTTAAGTGTCTTGTAACATTCCCAAAAATAGCTCACTTAAATTTATCATTTCAAGGAAAAAAAATGAAAAAAAAAATACAGATTTTACTTCTGTTATTTCTAAAGTAAAAAAAATAAAACTTTTTTACACATATATGTAAAAGATACATAAATTGGCGGGCTGGGTGATTCTAAAAGTTAATTTGTACATGAATGAAATCCCTTTTAAAAATAACCCTCTGAAATGTATTCAAACCAAACCTTTTTTTTTACAGCGAAAGGTACAATTAAAGATAACGCAAAAGAGGAGGTGTATTGCAATGAATTCCCAGCTGATATTGGAGGTGATATCAAATATTTAAGGAATCACTGTCTAGTTAGTATAGAATGCCAGGGCATCAACGATAGTGGGAAACATGGGATAATTTGCATAAAAGGCGAAGCCCGTTATGCATAAACTATTCCATGTTTCCCACTATCGTTGATGTCCCTGGCATACCATACTAACTAGACAGTGATTCCTTATATTTCCATCTAATTGTGAAAAAAATTGTAGATTTAGACCTAAAAAATTTAGAAATAGGTTTAAATTACACGAGGACTTCCATGGCAATTTCAATACTCGTCGACCACTGACGTCAAACACAAAAAAGCCGCACGAGATGTACATATATACATTTGGCCTCCTTAGCGTCAGACACATGTTGAGACAGATGCACACAAGATTTGCTTGCATATTGGGCCTCCTTAGCTCCTGACCTATCGACCTGCCTAACTTACATTCCGGCAGAATTTTTAAGAAATCAACTTCTCTAACTTTCAAAGAGTTATTACAGAGAAAAAATTAGAAATTGAAATATAATTATATAAATGTTCTACATTCTACCGTTTGGAAAATGTTTTAAAACTATAAACTCTACTAGATGTTGTTAAGAAATGAAATTTCAATCACATTGCATGTAGAAAAAAAGTGAAAACTGTATAAAGAAGATAGTAAATTTTAAGTTTAATAATTTTCAGAAAAACAAAGTGGACGAGATGTGTATGTATTGTTTTATTCATTACTTTTATTTATTTTTTCTCTTTACTTATTTTTTTTCACCAAAGATTGACTTCTGAATGTATTTTTTTTCAATCTGGCAGGAATACTTCCCCTTATGCAGAACTAAGAGAACTCGACCACCAAAACACTTATGATGAACTTCATTTATATGCTAAAGAAGACGACAAAATTTAGATGGACGCATGCTATTGTTTACATTTTAATGTAGAACTCACTTTCCATTGAAGCTTTAATTACATAGACTTTTCTGAGTGTTATATATCAGTGCATATTTTTCTTCAGAGGACCTCTTTCAAGATTTTTTATGAAGGACGTAGGAGGAATTCGGTTTGTTTATCTTTTTTATCCCCCTTCATATGTCTTTTCCACAATCAGATTCATGCCGCACAACATGATGTTGAGAAATGGTTTTGTACATGTACGCTATAAACTATGTAAGAAAGTTTTTGAAAAGAGAGGTATGGCACAAATTTTGTCAACATAAACATAAAGATAAACTCAAACAATAATATAACTTTGTTCCAATGCCTTATAACGAAGATGTTTAACGTTAAGTTCTGAAGAATGTAGTTGTCACTGAATTTTAATTTTAGGGGAAATACAAATTTCAATTCAATCACCATGATTTGCTTACATTTTTTTATGTAAATAAGAGTAAGTTACCAGTATTAACTTCCATTTGTGTTTGTTGAGGGAAATATTCTTCTAATATGTTCCAGGTCCGTGCATGATTTTAATTTGATTTTTTGTTGACGTTTTATGAAAGCTACATACTTTTGTCAAACAAATATAAATTTAATAAAATAACTTTTATATTCACAACTTTTCATGAAACAAATCACTTACTTTACTTAAGTTAAATACCTTTACTTTTGCTTGTTGTTGTTGCTTAAACCACTTCAGGGAAAAAAAAAATTAAAAGCTGTGTGAAGATGTCATTTTTTGCCAGGATAGATGACAAGAAGTGAAACAAAAGAATGTTTAAAATACAATTACTTACAATAAAGTATATTTTAAGCTTGGATAAGGTCAATGATGAAAAATCCATTTTATCTTATATAATGCTAAAAATATTTTAATCTATTACAAATCATGAAATTCAAAGTAAATATCATTTAAATATAACAACTTAGGGCAGATCACTCTGACTGCATAAAACTACTCTATAAGTATAGCTCTTTTAGTGTGCACTGTTTAGAGCTTCCTAAAAACCGTGATATATGCGATTCAGTGACAGAGGTGAATGCATGAGCCGATGGTAGGTAGTGATAATTTAAAAGTAATCTCAAACATAATTTTAACAGTCATTTTTAAAAATTAACAGGTATAATTTTTTTTGTCTAAAAAATAAACAAAACAAAACAAAGAAAAGAAATATATCAATATTTCATACAGATCCCAAGAAACTTTACACATCAAATGCAGAACAAACATGTTAATCAGAGTTTAAAAAAAAAATCATGACAAATCTCCTAAGACTGTCATATTATGAAATGTTATGACCATTAATACAAAATTAATTGAAGTACCCTTCTTATCTGATGATTTTCGAGTATTTTTTTTATAATGGGTTTTTCAATGTTCTTTATCTCTACTCACTCTATTCACTCAGAGATGCTTATTGAAAAAATATATATTTAAAAATTGACCCCCCAAAATTCCCTCTCCTTTATGAAAGTCTGAGTATAACCTATTTATAAATTTATAAAAAAAAATGAATATATGTAAGAAGTTATTGTCTTTTGTTTGTATTGGAAACATTTTTTAATTAGAAAAATCCGTTATAAACGCAAAAATTAGTGCACAAAAGTTTGTATTATATTTATGATATTCGAATGCTTTGAATGCTTTATATTTTCACTCCAGTATATGTCTAAATAGTAAACCTATCAAAAACCTCATGGTCACACTAGCAACCAATCTGTTGAACAGAACGAGAAATTTCACTTTGAACGGACAAGATAGGCTAGGACCCCTCTTTGGCCCTTTGTTTTGGTATGCTATAGAACATTCAGCAGTTTATCGATAAAGACCTGTAAACATCCTTTCCACTAAATGAGTATTGGTTAAATTTATTGGGTACACTGCATTCACTGAAAGGTCAGAAAATATGTCAATTGCTAGATTTTCTCATTTAAAAGAAATTTTTCCTTGATTTTGCAAAACATTTACTTTTTCACAAGATACTTATATAAGCTTGCCTAAACCAAATTTATTTATTTCATACAGTAAAGTATAGAACTTCGTGCTCTAAGTATTTTAAATTTGACGACATTCCACAACAATTGAGGAAATTCGGGAAAATGTTTTACGTCTGCACCCTTTTGTGGTGTTTATTAGCTTTAAATCAATATTAGTGCTGCTTTCAAAACAAGCATAATTTTTAGTTCTTAATTACAAACTATCACAGTTTTTTAAGTGTGTTCAGATTTTTGCATCAAACAAGGGACCAGATATGGCCGCTACCACACCTTCTCTTTTCTTCGACGTAAAATAAGTTTAAAATTCCTAAGTTCTGAACCAATATGTAAAACATGGGTACATAGATAAAACATCGATACTGGCTAGCAGACAATGCCATATTGATTGAAAATAGATATGTAGATTACAATCACTGATCATTCTTATACATCAAGTAAAACCGTAACCAGGGTAAATTACAGAAGGCTGAAAACACCAGAGGTATACATGTATGAAACATAAAGAGCCTCGGACTAGTCAGCATCTCGTATTTACCAGTCATCTTCACTGAAACTCCTTTATTGTCAGTGGGTATATGGTAGGGATGTGCGATTTTATTGGTATACCGGTATATCACGATTTTTTGTTACGTGATATGTATCATGATATATATATATTAGGGATGTCAACGAGTACCCGGTTAACCGGGTACTCGATCGAACGTCCGAGTATCGAATACTAAAATCGGTACTCGGTTACTCGGATGTATATTTTTGAATATTGCTAAGCTTATTTATTAATGAATTAAACGATCTGTTTTAAAAGGTAAAATACTCATTGCACTTGTACACTTGTACATACAGTAATTATTAGGGTTTCCTACTCCTCTAAATGACCGTTATCGCCCGTGGCAGTGTTTATACAGTAATTATCGTGACCTGTTACCTGGCTTTTCTCACCTTCGGCTGTCTTCTACCCTTATTTTTGATTTTCTTTAATTATTTGTTTTCACTGAACATCTTTTAAGGTCTGTTATGATTAAATAAATTAGATTATTTTGTCAATTCTCCGAGAAGCCGTAATTTCTCGGGAATAGAGACAGATGATATTACACGCGCGACTGTTGATCAATATGGTTGTGTTTCATTACATGCCAATACATGTGCAAATAGTTGACGGCAAAGGCTTAAAAAAATGATGTCCATCATTGCACCAAACTACAAAATACCGTCCCGTGATACTATAAACTCTAGGATCGAAAAGTATACGAAAATCGTAAATCGGCTGTGTTAGAACTTGGTCAAGTTCAAGTCAAACTGTACGACTGATATATACAATGTGCCTTGACGTCAAATGCAACAAAGAGTTACATTACAATTACGGAGTAGATTTTTTTTTGAACAAAAACACAATGAACCACTTACGATTTTATTTCTTGTGTTAATCTGATAAATAAATTTAACTTAAATAAATGTTGTAGTAAATTTCGTCGGGCACGAAGTTCTAATCATTGTTACAACAGAAATGCATTTACGTGTAAACCTCCTATCAGAGCATGTGGTTTTATTTCTACAAGTGTTTACAATGTTTTACATTCATCAATTTACTTGTTCATATTTATTTACACTTTTACCGAGTACCCGGGTACTCGATCGGAAAAACGTCCGAGTAACCGAGTATTAAAAATTGACCGATTTGACATCCCTAATATATATATATATAGGTGCATATTAATAAAGTCTAGAAATTATTCATTTATTTGTTCAATCTTTCAAATTACAATTACAGAAAGTCTCAAAGATGTTTTAAAAAGGTGAAAAGAACGGAATCTTACCTTCCAGATATGATTAATTTTTTGTGCATAAAAAGTGAAAATTTTGTTTTTCTAGCAAATTTTTTAAACAAAAAATACTGACTATTTATTTAAAATCATTGTAAATATTGCTTGCAAAAATATCATGATATTATCGTGATATTTTGGGGGTGAAATCGTGATATATCGCGATACGAAATTTTTGGCGATACCCATTCCTAGTATATGGAGTATTTCCTTATTAAATTCAGCATAAAAGCAAAGGTCTAATAAACGTATGAATATATTCGGAAAAAAGGATCAAAAGTCACATTTTTTACAAATAAAGTTATTATTTCTTGTAACATACGCAAAACACATATTTTTTTATGCTGCACTTCCAACTCAATTCTAGATTTATACGACATGTCAGACAAAGACAACATTTTTCTTCTGATAAAGTCTTAAAATTTGCAAGAAAAACACTGCATCAAAGTCAATAATACCCTGTGGTGTTGTTAAAGGATTTCAAACAATCGTCATGTTAACTATGAAATAATATACTTCTCCCCTTGTCATAATCAGGAAGAGAATTATATATTACCTTTTCTTTGAGCTCCCTAAAATTCGAGACATGATTTTGAGTAAAATCTTGACATCCCCCTACAACATAAGCAATCTTTCAAACAAGAATGAATGGATGGGGCTTCTCTATTTTCAAGTTTTTAGCACAAACATGGTTACGCTGAAAGGTTGACGTACAGAGAGACTGACACTTATTTGCGAGTGTTTTAAATGCATCATCTCTCAAGCGCTCTTACTGATATATTAAGAAATTTCAATATCTACTGTAAGTGCTGTTCTACGTTAAGGATGGAGGAAGCTTTTATAAAACATATTTTTTTTATATTTGAGAAATAGTTACTATAAAATCAATCTTTAATATTACATGTATAAAGTTTGTTTTCTGCATTAGTAATTTGCACAAAATTTCCTCATACTAGTATATCCCTTGCATAAATACATGACTTGATATTAAAACCGCAGTGCAAAAAAAAATTACAAAGCACACCAATATGAAAGAGGGAAAGATTTCCTTATCCAGGTGTTAAATTTGATATTAATTTTGTCTCATTGTGTGAGAATCGACCCGTACACTAATTATTGCATCCTTAATTTGAATTTTAAAGGGAGTCACAGGATCGGTGATAACCATAAATTAAGCTAAACATGTTATTTTAGTTAGATACAATTTAGCTAGTATAAAAGCTCTACTTTTTGTGCATCTTTCAAAATAGTCATATGAAGGATATTATTCTTCATATATCAGTGCCTAGTTTATAATTGACTTCCTGATCTTCATCAGATATAGATTATATCTTTATCATCATGATATATACGTTCTTGAGGTAAGATTATACTTTTATTTCCATACTGATTTCCAACTCTTTTCTTAAACTATAGGTTCGTTACATTGTAGAATTAAGCCAGACACTCTAAGCAGAAAAAAAATCATAAA